TCATTCATAGTAGACATTGCTTCCAGAAAAATTCTAGTAAGGGCTCGGATGACTCAGGAAGAGGTCGAGCCTCCTCGCTAGGAAGAATTTTCCAACCAAGAGATTCCAACAGTGGCCTAAGTTAATGTATATGGTGCAGAAATCCAACCAAATCAACAAAGTAACTCTAGGTAGTGGAGCTTGCAGCATTCTTGTATGTTTTCTTGCAAATCTTTATTTTAACCACTCACTGCTTGAGACACAATCTTGGACGAGAACCTTACTAAAAAGCTACTTGGAACCAAAAAAGTCCCCAAAAAATTAAATTATTTATCCAGACACAGGCTATGGGTAAGTCAACACAACCCAGAAAGTTCAAAGAAAATATCCTATGTGCTACTTTTCCATTAATATTGCATTAGAATAACCAGTCGATTAGAATGGGCCAATCTGAAACATACAAGAAACAGGTTAAGGATAAAAGAACTGTTGGGAAATTATTACCTCAGCTGGCGTAGCTAGAATTAAAAGATACTGTATTGCCTCAACAAAAACACCAGGCTTGGATTTGGTGAGGCCAACAGCACATATGGCTTGCTCCTCCACATTAAACTCGGGACATTGACCATCCCTGACCAACATAAAGTGGTAAAGAAATAAAAAGCACCGTAATTTGACAAGGTAGCTACTCTTCAAGGATAAATATTCAATAAACACCTAACGATCTACTGCCAGCTGGTAATGTTTATACGTCTGTTGTTTGCCAAATAAAGTTCTCATTTCTTAGTCTGCAATTAATATAGTGAAATCAAGAAAAATCTCAATAGCACTTGTTTTATATGTGAAAACTTCATGGCAGGCTTTTTATAGTACTAATACACTACAGGTTTTGGAGAAATTGGCATTACAAGTATTAATTCTTTTGTGTAGAACTACCACTAATGCACGCACACCGGAAGCGAGGTGCCTTTTTGATAAGCATACCTCAAAACACTAATTCGAGAAACTCTTTCTTTTTTGTGAGTCCTTCAAAATTTTCCTCATTTCTCATAAACATAGCTATTCAATTCATGATACTTACGAGAATGTGGGAAACTTGACATCTCTACAAGAAGACTACATTAAATTTCATACCGATGTTATCTTGGTTGAAGTAAGCATGCGATTCACAACAATGATCAAACTATTAGAGTATTAATAAGGAAATATTGAGAATTTTATAAGGGTATTAATAGTAGCATAGTTGCCAATCTGAGCATAGATGAGTGAATCGGGCACCAATTACCTTCCTTGAGGTCAAAGGTTCAATCTCCCCGCTTTTTGTATTAAAAAATAATAATACTAATAATAGTAGTAGCAATTAGCATACTTGTAGTTATCATACAAAAAAGCAAATACACATTGGTATAACCTTATGGGAGTGGCGATCGATTCCCAATAATCTACCTATTATCCAAAAATTCCTTACCTCCCTCTGTTTACAACCACTCTACCCTACTAATATTCTAATAACATTCCCAATATTTCCCTATTAATACACTAACACAAGGGGTTCATAGGTCGGCTTGGATTAGATTGAATAATACTTTACCATTTCTCGATTTATGCGTGTCATCCTTGCGCAGGGTCATGCTAATCTTCTCTGTATCGTTCCAATTTTATCAGATGTCTTCGAAGAGACTTGGATTGAATAATACTTTAAACTCAAACTGACTGTTCCAACTATCATTTAATCCAAGCGAAGTAACCTTTTTACAATTTCTTCCACTTTTTTAATAGAGAAGAATATCAATTTTCCAGTTCCTTACCACGCAACACACAGTTCTTTAAAATATTTAACTAAATGTATTTTCAATACTTAAAAATAATTGATTCTCTGAATAGGAAAAAAACAAGTGATGAACGTTGATTCCAAAATCATCACAATTACAAATAGAATACATTAAATGTTAAAAATTATGGACAAGAAGTCATCCAAGTGCAGCAAACGACATTATAGTTCACTATTAGATTTCAAAATACGTGGAATTATCTAACATGACAAAAGTTTACTCACCACTTGTCAAATCGCCAAAGAAATAAAGAATTATCAACAGATGCCCAAGCTCTTCGTATTTCCGGAAATATTCCACATAAGGCAGTTCCTTCCCCACCGGCAGCATTGTATCTTTCTATAAGCACTTGGGGCAACTCCCAAGTGTCCACCACTTCCACCAGAGGAGGCCACTATAAGAAGTAACGAACATAATCGCATGTTTAATACAATTTCTGTCCAACCAAGCAAACGAAGTCGTACATAGCAAAACCATTAAGATGATGCTCTTAAATACTATAAGACTACTACTACCAGAAAATACAATTCAAAATATATATTGTTTTTACATGAAACTAATCAATATAGAGTCAAATTCATGTATAACTTAAGAAGCTCTAGACTTCCATTAAGAAAAAGAGAAAAAAATAAAATTGTGTTGAACTTGTTTCGCAATGGAACAAAAGAAACCCACAAATATCACGTTTGAGAACACAGGCTGCTAGTTAAAAAAGAGGGCATTATCAAAATCATATACTTCAAACATAATTCTGCACTTCCAAAACCTTCCAGCATGTAACGACGTTCGTAAATACATCAACCCACCAAAATAAAAAATAAAAAAATCCATGAGATTCAAAATTACCTCTCTGGGGTGGGTTGTATATGGATCGCTAGCGTATCTCGAAGCTTCCAGCGCTTCCTCCAGATCAAGTTGAGTGGCAGCTTCTCTGGCAATGCGGTCGCTGATGACGACACCGGCATTCGTGACATCGCGTAGCACGACATCCTCGTCCAATGCCATCTAGTTCGGAACCCTAAAACAGAATTTGGGGGAGCGAAATTGGGTGGACAACCTCTGGGATTTGAGGGTAGAAGGAAAAAATAAAGAATCAGAACGTTGAATCAGTGTAGTGGCGCTTGGTTTCTGTACAATTGAACGTTGGAGAATCGAGATAGAGAATTTAGTAGCAGAGCTGGGAAGTGTTTGAGCATAAAGGTAGGGTTTTTGAGCGGGTTCGCAGTGGCGGGGAATTTAGGATATTTAATTGGGGAGCGTTACGAACCCGGTTTAGACCGCCGGTCGAGCCTGCTCCATGCTTTAACGTTATTCGTTGTAACTCGGTTTTTTCCTCTTTTTTTTTTCTTTTTGTTAAATTAAAATGGTTAAATACTATTTGTTTTCATATATTTTCAGCCTTCATTCTAGTTTATGTAATTTAGAATTATTCATTGTTCCAATGCTTTCAACTTTAGTTCATTTTAAGTAATGTATTTTCAGACCATTTTGTTTTGATTTCTGTAATTTTAAAAGGTGATTATTTTTAGTCTTTATTTGCAAAATTTAACATAAATTATACACAAAATGAAAACTCTTTTGGTATAAAGCAATGAGTATATTTTAAAAAGTATATTGAGTGTAGTGCTGCGTTGAAATTGTAATAAGAAAAATTAGGTTTAAACTAAAAATAATGGACCAAAATTGTCACTTTTTAAAAGTACATTAATTAATGATAGTACATGGACCAAAACAACCAATTAAAAATTATTCCCTGTTTTTTCTGCTTTGTGATTTTTTAAATTATACTTGTCCTCTCGCAATTTCTTAAGTTTGTTTTTCACCTTTCATCGGGTGCACATTTCCATATTTTAAAAACAAAATAATTGTTTTAACTACCTCAGGTGGAATGAGGTTTTAAGCTTAATATTAAAAAACAAAATAGTTATCAAACGAGGACTTAGTCGTTATATTTGGGTTTAATTTTAATTTGTTTGGTCCTCATAGTTTCATTGGACTTCATCAATTATCGCCAATATAAGAATGACTTAGCAGCATCTACTATTTTCTTTGAGATCGAAGGTTCAAGTCTCAACCACACATTTGTTGTACTAAAAAAAATTCATCAATTATAAACCAAATTGGAACTTTTTATCACTACAAGGTCAAATTGAAAATAAGCTCAAATCATAGCGACTAAACTATAATTTTTAAGAGCATGTAGACCAAATTCAAACTAAGCTCAAACTATAAGGATCAAATTTATAGTCTAACATTCTTTTAATGTATTTAAGTATAGGCCAAAAAAATGTTTTAGTCCATAGTGCTGGGATGTTTTTTCTAATTTAATCCCTACTAGTTCAAAAGTTTCAATATGGTCCCTTACATTTTAACATTTTTAAGTTGTAGTCCTTATTTCATTGAATGTTAAAATATGATAAACTCATATTGAGTGATACTTGGAGAGTATACATAAATTTAGAGCATGAATTATGTCACTTAAAAAGAGGAAAAATAAAAATGTATTTTAATTCTTATGAATTAAATTGGGAAGATTAGTTACAAGAAGTCATTGAATAAATAGTAATCTAAGGCAAAATAATTGTAAATATAGCCAAATCATTAATTTAGCGGTTAAGACACCCTACTCATTTCTTTAAAGTCGAAGGTTCAATCTCATGTCTCCAAATTTATTGTACTAAACAAAAATTTAAGTTCGATCTAAATAAAAATATACGAAAAATAAAAAAAGAACTCGTAAATATAGCATCGCACATCTATCCACGATAGACTAAAAAATGATATATAAAATGAGAGATTTGACTCCCTAATGGAATCTTATTATGACATTATTAACACAAAAGCTAACGGCTCTATTGGTGGAGGATCAAAGTAGCCAATTAAAGACCCTTTCGATTTTGTTTTAAGTTTTATGTCTCGCAATTTATTCAACACATTTTCAAATTTATTGAAAACACATTTGAATTATTAACCCAAATTAAAAAAAAAAATTAAAAACTATTTCTTTCCTTGAAGTTTTTAAATTTTGACTTAGATTTTGAAATGTTCTTAAAGGGTAGATAGCAAAACAAAGAAATGCCCATATTTATAAGCTTAATGTTTACGACAAAACCAAAAATAAAATAATCATCAAGTAATTACACTATTAAAGAAAAAAAAACAAAAATAATTAAACAAAAACTACTCAAACTAACTACATCAAATATATAAATCATTAAATTAAAATCAAGAGGGAAGCCCAATGCAAAATCACCCAACCAATGGAAGTTGATGGATAGTAAATAATGGTCCAAAATTCAAAGGGAGGAGGCTCCACAAAGACCCCTCACTATCAACACAGCAGCTATACCATTTGATTCTATAACAACCAACAGGAAAACTAGACACATCAAGCAAGCAATTTGAGAATCCTTGCCCTTTCTCATCTGGTTCAAACTGCACAAACACTTCTACTACCCTCTCGGTTGTGCGAGAACTCGAGGTTCCACGCTTGCCAACATCGGCCTCGTTTTTGCTCAACTCGGTCACATAATGGAACAGTTTGTTCTGCATTGCTACCATGTCGTCGTTCTCCCAAGCTTCACAAGCTTGCTGTTTTGGTTCGTTGTTCTCGCCGGTGTGCCTCGGTTCCTGAAAGGATAATCCACAATACAAAATGCAGTACATCTTGGTTATTTGAACTGATGTATTCGGCGGGATGTTTCTCAGTTGAAGACAAAGATTTAATGATAGGTGGAAGCCGAATGGGATAGATATTCCATCCGGTTTACGAGCATCCGTAGAGGCAAAGAGGTCGGACCCAACGCAAGGCCTGAAATTTGAAATCAATTCCAGAACTCAGGTGAGTGAATTGAATGAAAATAAATACTCCAACCGCTAACCTACTAGAAGGAAATAAAAACTATAAGAGAAAACAACTCCGTATACCTTACACAAAAGAAGTACTTGGGCACTCGGAATGGAATGCTCATCCACCGCGTAAGAATGTTCGATAAAAACTGCATGCCATTCTTGATAACCTGGAGAAGTGTCCCCTCATTCGTTCCATTCGATTTGCTCTGCAAACCGACGACCTCGGAAACAGCATAACTACAGAGAGCAAAAATGTCTCTTATTTCATATCCCACATCTAACATTTGGCTTCTTGAGGGCAAACGCAAGCAGTTATTTGGTCCACCAGTGATCTCGAAAAGCTGTAGAAGGATCTTACTTGTTTCACTGTCCACCAACCACAACTTACCAACCAGATTTTGAATGAGTTCAGCATGTAAATTAGTTCTGAAATCTTCCACATTTTCAGTCATTAGAGTTGTAGCCAAGTTTGGAACATGAAAGGCAAAACCAGTACAGAAGGCCAACAGAGAGCAATTCAATGCAAGGGCTGAAATAACGTTTGAACTCTTGGTGTCTATTCCAATAAAAGATGTTACAATCAGATCCAATTCGTGGGACAACCTCTCTATCAATAAAGATAATTTGCTAAATTCTTTCATAGTTTCGTGGATGGCAACAGTATCAACTGTCCCAAGCTTAACATAGTCACTACTGTTGCAATATGATATGTTTTCCAACAGCTTAAGTATGCTCCTCACATTTCCTAAAACCCTAGCTCTTAATGACAAAAACCATCTCTGGAAACAAAATGCTCGAACCGGTGAAACAGCAGCCGCCTTTAAGGTCTCACCTGAAGAGCAAAGACACTGGTGGGCCTCCAAAAGCTTGTCGTAGTAAATGGCCTCAGTGATACTCCCAGCTTGATGTTGGTTTATTGGTTCTTCAGTGGAAAACATATCTAAAATCATTTCCTTCTCTAACCAGTTAGCCAAACCAGAACCATATTGTGGTAACAGCAGTAAGTGGATTTTTCTCTCCGCAAGAGCAAACTGAAACAAAGATTTCAACCAGCAATGGAAGATATCAGACTGAACCTTCAACACTAAATGGCCGAAAATCAAGGTGGCAGCAAACCACGATCCATGACATGCTGCGTGTCTCCCAGCTTTGTAAGTAGGCCATTCATCCCCATCCTTTAGCAACTTGTTTGCACACTCGAGCGTAAGAATCTCGTTTTCAGTTAAATCTTCACAAAAAGTAAAACATGGAAACCTGTCAATATTCCAAGTACTAAAATCCTCAGTTATCCTGCAACTCAAAATGAATTTACAGTTCAATAGCAAGGAGTAGGTCATGCAAGTATGGCGACTGAACAAATAGCTTTTGCACACACTGTTGACCATTAGTTTCACCTTGTCAAATATTTCAGGGGTGATGGAGACAACTTGACCAATGTAACCAATGCAGATTGCCACAAGTCCATATAGAATGAATGCAAATCTCAAGCTGATATCATTCTTTTTGTCTCCTTCAAAGTTCATATCTGTTTGTTGGCTATCACTGAAATCTTCATATATATCCATAAATAATTTAACAGTCAAACATATTCTATCCAAAAGCAAAATCCACAGGTCTGAATGTTCTCTTACAATGAGCAGGAGAAGGTTTAGCAGCCCTTTAATTTCTTGAAACACTTCAGACTTTGACTGAGAAAGATCTACTAACATCTTTCCTAATGATGCAATTTGATCCATGATTAGTGAAATAACCTTTGATGGCAACAAAGAGAACGAACGACCTCCTGATTCTACTTCCATTTGTCCAGAAAGTTTTAATGATAAATTCACCAAGGTATGGACAGCAAGGAGGCTCTTTAACTTCATTGGAGATCGGGCTGCACTCTCCACAGCTGTTACCAGTTTAGAGTATTCGTTTGCATCCAAAAAAGAAGGATTTGGCAGCACATCGAAAAGAATCTGCAACTTATCCATTGTGATTCAATATATTTCAAGATCAAAATTTAAAATACAAGTTCATCCATGTAAGCTCAGGAATGACCTTTTGCAACAGTCGTAAAACATCGCAATGCAAAGTAGTTGGAAGCATGTCTTCATCTAGTGCATTGACTAAAACCCTGATCGTACATGCCATATTAGTAAACTGACATGCTCCTTTCATGAAAATAAAATGCAAACATCTTAAGGATGTTTCTTGCACACGCACAGACTTTTTGTTGCTAAGAAATGAGCAAAGCAATTGCACCTGCGTCGGGACATCAGAAAAAAGTAACAATATTCCTATTAAGATTAAGAAGACCACAATCCTAAATGTCAAAAACCAACCACCATCTGTGTAGAATAGTTACCTGCTCAGAACTAATAAATATTGACATGGAAGCCAGTTTGGATAGTGAAAATAACATTGCAACCAAAAAATCCTCTTCACAAGAGTCTGAGGTGAGCTCAAGTCCAGCCTAAAACAATTAGATAGTTGAACCAAGTCAGAGAATATAATTTTGAAATGCAAAGTCATAATCAGCACAGTGATATATTTTCTATGCATGTGGATTTTTTAGCCAAAAGTATCTAATTGAAGTTCAAAGAAATACGAGCATCAACACTAGAAAAGTAACTCTGGAAATCAATAATGATACATTCTAGTCCATGTATTTACTGGATTTATCATTAAAACTTTTTCCATCGCTGAAGCAGAGATCTAATCTGACGTATGAATTAGTATCGAAGTTAGTACCCGTATGTTTTTGTCCAAGAAGGCTGTTGAACTTGGGACCCTGGTTCTTCATATTTCGTTAAGGAAAAGTAGAGCAACTTGCTGTAAATGGATGTCCTAGGTTTGTACCTCTTTTTTTAGATAAGAAGTCCTAGGTTTGTATCTCAAGTTAAAACCGCTACAAAATTGAGCTTAATATTGGAAAAAGGACACTCTGCGTGTACTTGCTAAAAAGGAACCCGGTGGAAAAAATTAAAATCAATCAAGTTAGGTTGAAAGAGAAGTGAAGAATTTCACTAAAGGAGGTGGTTAAGGAGCTGAGCCTTTGGAGACAATAAGACTTGATGGTTAAAGGAGCGAATGGCTACACTACTTTCTTCCATAAAATTATCGATCACAGGACAAAGAAAATAATTTCATAGATCATTTTGTCTTTAGTTCCATGAATAACCTTGTGATAGAGAGACGTTGAACAGGAGTTCTATTTTTTTTAAAATTCACCAAGTTTTACACAAAGGGTAATGAAGAAAAGGTTGTCCTGGAAGGGCTGTAGTGCAAACCAATTTCCAAGACCTATAAGACCTGGTTCGAAAGGCCCTTTGAAGGGTGTGAAATTTTTAAGGCAGCACATAATCTCGGCTTTAGATAAACCCCAGGCTGAATGTGTATATTTAAAGAGTTTATGGAAAAGAAGAAAACGGGTCTTGGGACATCCTCAAAAGGATTTATTAAAGCTGTTCCATGTTTCTTTTACCATAGTAAATTGTTATTATTATGTCCAATTAGAGTGCTTTCCTATGATCTCCTCCGGCTTGGGCGGACCCTTTATTCTTTTCTTGTAACCTTTTGCTTGGACTGAAAGATTTTTTCTTTTTTCATTTTTTTCAGATTTTTTCTTTTTTCATTTTTCTTTTTTAAACGAGAAACACGGCTTTCATTGAGAGAAAATGAAAGAATATACAACTCCACAAGATATGGTTAAGATCCTCATAAGCTTGGAGTGAACAATTTCATCTTATCCACAATTTTTTTTTAATAAAAGAAAATAATAAATACTGAAGTTCTTAAGAGAATGTACTCGATTTAAGGTCAGCAATATAATATATATCTCCACCAATTTTCCCTTATGGGAAATATCCCATAGCCCTGCACAAGTCCCGAAAACTGTCTTTTTTTAATAGACTTTTTTAGGTTCAGTAGTAGGATCAGATCTAAGATATTGTCATTTGTATAACCAAACTGTCAAGCTCTCAACCAAATAAAATGCCCCTCAGTGTGTCAACTTGCACATTAATTTAAGGCATATACAAGTACTTCCAAGTTGAAACAAGTAAACATCATTTTGAACCAATTTTACACTCCCTCAACTTCAAGATGGCATGACATTTATGAAAATAATTGGACATACCACCTCTTTCAAAGCCATGTTAGGACTTGATTATCATCCCAAAAAAATATGCACTGTATTTGAATCCAAGATAAATCAGAAATAACCTTGTAGGCCATTTTTGCCATTGAATGTGAGCATCCCAACTTTGGTAACACTCGAGCTCCAGCCATTCTAATGGCCAAATTTGCAGACGGAGTCATTATATTAACCAACATCGTTAAGAAGACTTGTGCAAAGTCATCTGCTAACTCACCAATGCATGCTGCAGCAAATATAGATGCTTTTACCTGTAAGAACACAAAAACTTGTTCAAACACTTTGTGGAGGCAGGTATATTCAGAAAATCATGTGATCATGGAAAAAGTCTCCTCTCTTAAACAGGCATGTGTGAGGATTAGCCTCACTTTTGGTATTAAAATGATGAAAACAGCCCGCAGGAAAAACACACCCACCTATTCGAGAGGGTGGGCGTTCTCTCCCTTACAACCTTTCTACACTCAAAACAAGACTGATTCTCCCCAATCCCAAGACACCCTTCTAATACTCGTTGCCCTATTACAAAGCTAGGCCCCACCCAAACCGTTATTCCCTCACGCACGTCATTCTATTGTCCCTAGTACAATTCCCTTTCTGCCCCTCCTACGGTAAGTATTAACAATGAGAGGTCTAACAGCTTCCCCCCCTATTAGCTCCACCTTGTCCTCAACGGGGAAATCTGGGAATTGGTTCTGCATATCAAAGTATGATTCCCATGTGGCCTCTTCCTCCGGTAAGCCTTTCCAACTAATCAATGCTTCCTTCAAGCCTGTATCCCCATTGATCCCCGTAGCAAAAATCCCTTCAAGTTCTGCCCGCCACTCCCAATCTTTAGTCAATTGGTTTGGAATGGGTTGTACGGGTATGTTGGCATCCACTGCCTTTTTAATTTGGGAGACATGGAACACACGGTGAATAACTGCCTCCTCGGGTAATTCCAATTTGTAAGCCACTGTGCCAATTCTCTGCAGGATTCTATAGGGGCCAAATTATTTGGCAGCAAGTTTCTCATTCCGTCGCTTGGCCAATGATTTCTGACGGTATGGTCGAATTTTTAGGAAGACCTCATCGCCCACTTGAAACTCCACCTCACGGCGGTGAGTATCCGCGTGTTTTTTCATGTGGTTTTGTGTCTTTAGCAAATTCTCATTCAGCGCGGCTATGGCAGTGTCACGTTCAGCAAGCTGCTGATCTAAAGTGGCATTGGCTGTCTTCTGGCTGCCATAGGATAACAGTGGGGGTGGCGCGTGTCCATAGACGACTTGAAAAGGTGTGATACCCAACGAGCTATGAAAGGTGGTGTTGTACCAGTACTCCGCCCAAGAAAGCCACTGCCCCCACGTCTTAGGTGACTCGCTGCAAAAGCAACGTAGGTAAGTCTCGAGGCATTTATTCACTATCTCAGTCTGTCCATCCGTCTGCGGATGGTAAGCTCTGCTTCTCTTCAGCTTGGTACCTTGGATCTGGAAGAGTTCCGTCCAAGAGTGACTGAGAAAGACTTTGTCATGATCGGAGATAATGGATTAAGAGAATCCATGAAGTCGCACCACTTCCCGAATAAAAACTGCAGCCACGGCTTTGGTAGTGAAAGGATGGTTGAGGGGGATAAAATGAGCATATTTTCTCAACCGATCAACCACGACAAATATTGTGTCATGTCCCTGAGATTTTGGCAATCCCTCGACGAAGTCCATAGTAATGTCCTCCCAAATCCGCTCAGGGATGGCCAACGGTTGAAGTAATCCGGCTAATGCAACGGATAGGGACTTGTTTCTTTGGCAAACATAGCATTCTTCTACAAAGCGCTTCACATAAGCTTTCATACCTTGCCAATATAACTCCCCTGTAATTCTCTTATAAGCCCTCAAGAATCCCGAATGTCCTCCTAAGATGGAGTTGTGGTATAGGTGCAAAATAGCAGCCTTCAAGGTTGAATGGCTAGAGATCACCATTCGATTCTTGTAGTAGAGCACTCCATGTTGCAAACTATAGTGAGGCTTCGGTTCTGTTCTTTCTCTCAACTCAGCGATGATCTTGGATAGCTCGGGATCTGTCTGCACCTCAGCTTTCAATAACTCAACATCTAATAGAGAGGGCACGGTCATGACAGCTAAGTGAGGGCCGATGGGCATGCGGGACAAGGCGTCAACTGCCTTATTTTCAAGGCCCGGTTTGTACTGTATCTCGAAGTCGTATCCAAGCAGTTTGGAAACCCATTGTTGATACTCGGGCTGCACAATCCGTTGCTCCAACAGATATTTCAAGGCTTGTTGATCCGTCCGCAACACAAACCTTTTCCCCAACAGATAAGGTCGCCATTTTTGGATAGCAAGAGTAACGGCCATCAACTTTCGTTCATACACGGATTAGGCTTGTCCCTGTCTTGAGAGTGTGTGGCTGAAGAAGGCGATAGGACGTTGCTCTTGCATTAGGACGGCCCCTAAGCCTGTTCCTGACGCATCAGTCTCGATAACAAAAGGCAAGTTGAAATCTGGAAGGGCCAACACGGGTAAGGTCACCATTGCCATTTTTAGCTTCTGAAAAGCTTTGGTTGCCTGCTCACTACATTCAAAGGCATCTTTCTTGAGGAGTTGAGTGAGTGGCGCTGCCAAGCTCCCATAATTCAGCACGAACTTGCGGTAATACCCCGTTAAGCCAAGGAATCCTAGTAGTTCTCACAAGTTGGTAGGAAGGGGCCACTAGAGCATAGCTCTTATTTTCTCAGGGTCCGCCTCCACACCTTCTGCAGAAACCCAATGGCCCAGATATTCGACTCTCTTGTGCAAAATAGCACTTCTTGAGATTGGTATAACGAGTGATCTCGCAAGAGATTGAAAACCTTTACCAGTCAAGTGAGTAATATGGGATGATAAATCTGGATTGTAAATCAGAATGTCATCAAAAAGACTAAGACAAACTTACGTAGGAAAGGCCGGAATACTTGGTTCATTAGAGCTTGGAATGTTGCAGGAGCGTTGGTTAGCCCAAATGGCATGACCAGAAACTCATAGTGGCCTTCATGCGTCCTAAACGCTATTTTTTGGACATCCCCCGGAGCCATCTGAATCTGGTGGTAACCAGATTTCAAGTCAATCTTGGAATAACTGCGCGAACCGTGAAGCTCATCCAACAATTCATCGATCACTAGGATTGGGAATTTGTCCGACACCGTAACATTGTTCAAGGACCTATAATCGACACAGAACCGCCAGCTTCCATCTTTCTTTTTCACCAATATGACCGGGCTGGAATAAGGGCTCACGCTTGGCTGTATTAGGCTATTAGCCCCTTTTGGATCATCTCCCCTATCATTTTTTCAATCTCCGTCTTCTGCACATGTGCATAACGGTATGGCCTTACATTAACTGGGGCCACTCGTTCCTGAATCTGAATTCTATGATCAATGGCGCGTTGAGGGGGCATCTGTTCTGTACTTTGAAAGATATCTCGATATTCATCCAAAAGCTGATGGACTTCTGTCGAGAGATGCACATCCCTGACCTCCATTTCTTCCAATTGTCCTGCTCCTTGAGCCGTTAGAGCCTGCAGCTCCACAACGTACCTCTCATCCGTGTCTTGCCAAGATCTGGAGAGACGTTTTAGGGACACCTCCAAACGTGCTAAAGTTGGATCCCCTCGCAAGGTGATCTTCTTGTCTCCTCGTATAAACGACATCGTTAACGCTGGCCAATCCGTTTCCATCTTGCCCATGGATTGGAGCTATTTCATTTCTAGAATCACATCTAAGTCATTCAATTCAATCGGAAGAAAATCCTCGACTATAGTCACTTCAGGTAGCTCTAACACTACGCCACAACAAACTCTCTGACCCTTGACAGCCATCCCTGTCCCTGTGATAATGCCATAGTTAAACGTGTCCGATTGAGTAATCTCTAGCTCCTTCACTAACTTAAGAGAGATGAAGTTCTGGGTGGCTCCGCAGTCTAGGAGAACCACCACCTCGCAACCCTTCACGTCCCCTTAAGCTTAATCATTCCAGGGGTTGTCAATCCCATGATGGTGTTCAGACGGCACATCACCGATTTTCCCTTCTCCTTAGTACAATTCGGCTCAACCACATCAGGCTCTACTTCTTCCATTTCCATCTCATCCCCATCGTGTACTACAATTATGCGCAGTTGCTGATTTTTGCAATGGTACCCCATAGTGTATTTCTCTTCACATTTGAAACAGAGCCCCTTCTCCCTTGTTTTCGATATTCTTCCTCAGTAAGGCGTTTGTAGGTGGGCACCTTCTTCGCCATTGCTGTCGCACTCGAGGTTGCCACCGTTCTCGGCTTACTTGCTAAGGTGACCGTATGAGTAGCGTGGGTCTCTGCTGGTTTCGATATCGCTTTCCCCCCTATGGCATTGATCTTCGCATTCCGGTCAATTGTTCCTTCCCCTACTTCTTAGACTGCTGCAGCAATGTCCTCAACAAGTTGGGCCCGACACATTATCTGGTCTATCCCTGTGGGCTCTGTAGCTAAGACCTTAGTGCTAATTACTGGATCCAGCTCATTAAGGTCTGTCCCTGTGGGCTCTGTAGCTAAGACCTCAGCGCTAATTACGGGATCCAACTCTTGAGGAAGGCGGATTCCAGAACCTCATCCGATAGTTGAGGCAGGGGTGCTGAGAGGGCTTCAAACGCCTCCTGGTACTCAGTCACACTTCCTTCTTGTTTGATCGTTAACAGCTTCGCCAGTTGCCGGCCTTCTTTGGATCTCCGAAAACGATCCAGCAAACGAGTTTTCAGGTTCCCCATCCAGTGAAGCGGTCCCTGTTCTCATGCCATCTATACCAAGCCAATGCGACTCCATCGAAACTTATCACGGACACAATTAATTTCTCCATTTATGAATCTCAAAGTATCTTTCAGCATGAAACAACCAAGAGTCAAGTTCCTTACCTGTGAAAATCGGCATCTCGACTTGCTTGAATTTGTTTCGATCGGTCCCCTGGTCATTAATCTGAATCACTCGTGAAGTATCGGCCATTTGTTTGTTCTTCAATGCCGAAGTTTCTTCAAGTTGCGGAAGTGACGGAGAGTTCCCACCGATGATCTCCGACATAAAGCCCTCCAGCATCATCTGAATCCTTTCGCTCATCGCTCGCTGTTCTTCCACCTTCCCGCAGAGAGTGGTAATAGCTCCTTTAATATCGGAAATCTCCTTTTCTGTTGCCTCACATCGCGATTCCAACTCCCTCACCATCATTGTCGATCGTTAATACCAGTATTGAGCTCGCTTTGATACCAATTTGTGAGGATTAGCCTCACTTTTAGTACTAAAATGATGAAAACAGCCCGCAAGCGATACAGAGCCGACCCACCTATTCGAGAGGGTGGGCATTCTCTCCCTTACAACCTTTCTACACTCAAAACAAGACTGATTCTCCCCAATCCCAAGACACCCTTCTAATACTCATTGCCCTATTACAAAGCTGGGCCCCACCCAAACCGTTATTCCCTCACGAACGTCATTCTATTGTCCCTAGTACAATTCCCTTTATGCCCCTCATACGGTAAGTATTAACAATGGGGGGTCTAACAGCATGCCCACCACATATAACTAAAATTGGGTCTGGCTTTTCAATAACATATACACTTCGTTAAATTCTGAATAATCCAACACACAGTAAATCATTACACCAAAAATGATATTGTTGAAGACAACATAACACTTGGTAGGTTAAGGTACGGGTAACCAACTTTGCATCAAGAGCATCGAGGGCATTTTACTAAATACTGATGATCCAAATTGTTATAGCCTACAGGAACGACATGTTTAGCATACCACTACTTTTGTTGGAGAATGAGTCTACCAAAAAATAAAAAGGAGAATCTATCTCTCACCGCAAACCATTCTATGCCAAATAAGAAACTCTTATTAAGGAAGAAAAAGGATGAAAGTTTTTCTTAAACATTCCTTCATCATAAGGGCATTTATATAATGATCCCTGTTGGATAGCATAAACTAAAATTGTCATAGAAAGATTACATGTGAGAAGATAAGAAAATGTATACGGCACTCACCTCTGAGATATGGGGAGATAACAGACTAGAAAGTATCAAATAACGTATCTGGGTACTGTCTTTTGCAAAATGCGCCCAACATCCAAATAGAACCAAAGCTAGTGCCCTAGACTCGGGATCCCCTCCATCAAGAACAACCTTCACTCTAGTCAGTAATTCATGGTGGTTTTGCACCCTGGCCTTTGAAAGAATTCCTTGATATTGTTTACTTCTCGTCTTGTCACGGCTGTAGAGCTCTGATAAGAATACCCTAACGACTGCATGTCTAATGTGCTTGTCATCAAACTTAAATGCCTCAGCAAGCCGTAAGAGAATTGTGTTGGAAAATAGCCTATCTTCCCAAGTAACAAGGTCAAACATATTATACACTGCTACATTTGGTTCTGGCTCTCTACTCCATTGCTGAAGTCGAGACCCAATCTGAAGTATGGCTTCAGCAGCTCGACCTGAATAATCACAAATTGCAAGTATTATTTTACATCAAGAAGTTGTTAATACATAACTACAAACCCAAACTAGAAATCAACGTTGTTTTTAGTTCAATGGAGATGCTCGACTGATGGGGAATCAAGTGAAAGGAATCTTATCTATCAGTAGTAAATCTTGCTTTTCTCCCATTAATTTACTCCCTCTCAAGTACGTGAATTATTGTTCTTTTGTCATCGGAATCAAAATTTCATTTCGCCACTTATCTAAAACCATGTGATCAAAGAATAGTCAGATGAACACCTGATTTCTTGGAACGAAGAGCCTTCTCTAGCTCAATACTCCATTCCATGGCACAAGCTGCAGCATTCCTCTCCATATTTGATGCAGATACCCAAAATAATAACAGTGCCACGCGAACATTCAGAACCCACAGACCCCACCTTTACAAAATCATTTCCAATTAGTCCATTCTAACCAAAGGAAGGGCAAAATTCGGCACCCAAATCTTCAGACTACGAACCTTGGTCGATACTGATTGTTGAACTACACGGATAAAACAGAACACCACGCAGATTAAGCGAACTCTCAATTAGGCAATCAACCGCCAATGAGAAGTAAACGAATGGCTCGCACTAGCAGGAAAAATAAACACAATCCCCTGTATTGTTCCGTGATCAAAATCTCCAACTAAGAGTAGCGGCAAAAAGCGAATAGGCGATAGAGAGAGAAAGCGCTTACCTTCTTAAACCCCAGAGCAACCTCCGACCGCCGCCGGCTAGACAACAGGGCTGGTGCTCAGTTTCGAACTGCCTCCCGCCACCCAACGAAGATGCTTATGCCTCCAGTCCAAATGCTGCCCAGGTCCTTGATTGAACCAGTAAATTTTTCGAATAAATAAAAAAAATACAAAATTACAATGGTTGGGATGGAATCGAACCTCCGAACTTCATGGAGTAAATAGTGTCTTTCACCAATTGAACTTGAATTTATACAGTAAATCAAGAGTTTATCGAATAAGCACTACCTTCGGAATCAAATTTTTTCCAATCCTATGATACAATACTATATGAAAAATAATGCTAAATTTGTTATCTCGTTTGCCACAACGTGACGAAGGGAGATGGGTGTCGGCGACAACAATGGCGGCGAGAGAGGTGGAGAAAAGGGCCTCAACGGCCGCGCTGCGGTTTTTGTTCTGCTTTTTCGGTTTGGTCCGCATAAATAAATTGGGACTTCGGTTTGGTCCGGTTCGGATATTTTCCGGTTTCAAGTAAACCGGGAAAACCGTTACTTTCGGTTTTTTAAATAAAAAGCCCAAATGTGCATTATTTTTAAATCAGTCCATTCTTCGAAACTTGACGACATGTATCTAGGGTTCGTTTAATAACCATTTAGTTTTTTGTTTTTGATTTTTGATTTTTAGTTTTTAAGAAACTGGCCAATTCAATTTTATGTTTTTTACCTTTTGAAATTCTATGTAAATTTTAAAAAAAAAATTTCAAAATTAGGTTTTTTTTTTCTTGATTTTTTTTTCTAATACTCAACTTTTTTTTCTTTCTCATATTTATCTCTAAATTTTTTTTCCACTATAAAACTTTTTTATTTCTAAATTTCTCTCTATAAACTTTATTTTTCTCTTTCTAAAATTTATATATATTTGGAATATTTATTGTTATTTGTCTCGTATTTCTTTTTTTTCTAATAGACCAATTTCATTTCTCTCTCTAAAAATTTAATATTTTTTCTAACTTTTTTTCTCTAAAATTTCGTATTTTATAACTTTTCTTTCTCTTCGTAATCTATTTTTCACCTCTAAAAATTATATTTTATTTTATCATTCAATTTTTTCTAACTTTTATTTATTGTTGTATTTATTTATTTTCTATAAAAATTATATTTTGAATCTTGTTTTTATCTCTAAATTTGTTTCCACTATAATTTTTCTCTTTCTTTATAATTTCTTTTTTTTTCTTTAACATATCTTTCCTTGACTTTATTTTTTCCTCTAAAATTTTTATCTTTTTGTCTTTTAACTTTTCTTTCACTATTTTTATTTATCTCTCTAAAATTTATCTTCCAAAAGTTTATTTACATCTCTATTTCCATGTCTCTATATTAGGGGAAGACAAAAATTTCCACAGGGTCGGGTCCCAAAAATAGAAAATGCATATCTCGACCTCGCCCCGTCCCCGTTCCCGATTCCATTTTTTAAATAATTACTAGGTATTTATTACACTTTTTTTATACTTAAATTCTAAGAATAATTAAAAACAATTATAAAACCGATAATTTTTCTCGAGAACATCTCAACCCAAGAACGAGGTGGAGACGGAGACTACAAATTTTCACGAGCCCGAGAACGGGGAAAGCATCATCCCTCCCACCTGTCATCTCTACTCTACATAAAATTTTCTCTCTTTATAATTTTTAATTTTCTAACTTTTTAGAAACAAAAAACTAAAAATGGTTACCAAACATAAAAACAGAAAACAAAAATGCAAACATATATGGTTTTTGTTTTTTAAAAACAGAAAATCAAAAACCAAAAACTAAAAACAAGAAAAACCAAAAACTAAAAACTAAAATGGTCATCAAACGGCCCTTAGGGCCGTTTATTTTTAGTTTTTGGTTTTTAGTTTTCTGTTTTTGAAAAATAAAAACCATATATGTTTGATAACAATTTTTTGTTTTTTGTTTTTAAAAAACAGCAAATCAAAACATGTTTGATAACCATTTTTAGTTTTTTATTTTTAAAGAAGTTAGAAAATTGAAAATACATATTAGAGGGAGAAAATTTTATGTAGGGTAGAGATGACAATAGTATGGGTGCGAGTGAGGATGTTCACCCCATTCTCGTGCTCGTGAAAATTTTTAGTCCCCGTCTCCACCTCATTCTTTTGTCCGAGAGATGTTCTCGATAAAAATTATCGGTTTTATAATTGTTTTTAATTATTTTTATAATTTAAGTATAAAAAAAGTGTAATAAATATATATATTAATTATTTAGAAAATGGAATTGGGGACGGGGACGGGGTTTTCCTATTTTTGGGGACCCGACCCTATGAATATAAATTTTAGAGCGATAAATAAAAAGAATTAGAAAAAAATAGTGAAAGAAAAGTTAAAGACAAAAAGAAAAAAAATTTAGAGAAAAAGAATAAAGTCGAGAGGAAAATATATGTTAAAGAAAAAAAAAGAAATTATAAAGAAAGAAAAAATTATAGTGGAAACAAATTTAGAGATAAAAACAAGATTCAAAATATAATTTTTAGAAAAAAAAATAAATACAAAGATAAATAAAAGTTACAGTGAAAGAAAATTGAACGATAAAATAAAATATAATTTTCAGAGGAAAAAATAGATTACAAAGAGAAAGAAAAGTTATAAACGATGAAATTTTAGAGAGAAAAAAGTTAGGAAAAATATTAAATATTTAGAGAGAGAAATGAAACTGGCATGTTAGAAAAAAAACAAAAATATATAAAAATTTGGAGAGGGACGAATAATAATAATTATTCAAAATATGAAAATTTTAGAGGGTGAAGAATAAAGTTTGTAAAGAGAAATTTTAGAAATAAAAAGATTTTAGAGTGAGGAATAAATTTTTTAGAGATAAACACGAGAAAGAAAGAAAAAAGTTGAGTATTAGAAGAAAAAAACAGTTTTTGAAAACAAAAACCTGTTTTTGAAATCTTTTTTTTTTAATTTTACATAGAATTTCAAAATCGCTTTTGAAAAGAAAAAAAAAAGCAGAAAATTGAATTTCAAAATGGTTTAAAACATAAAATTGAATTGGTCAACACCCTGTTTTTAAAAACCAAAAACAAAAAACGAAATGGTTATCAAACTGGCCTTAATTTAATTAAATTATACATATTTTCCAAATTAAAAAAATTTTATTAAAAAATCAAAAATCAAATTAAACCATAAACTCAAATAGACATTATGAAATTTACCGTCATTAATCTTTGATAATATTAACGAATAAATAAATCAAATCTAATATGAATCTAATTGAACTGGTCAAGACATACATATGGTCGATTAAAAGGTTGGTTATTTGGACTCCATCTCATATGTTATTGAACTCGAAACAATAACAACAGGAAGATGAAAAATAAAGCAATGTTTTAATGAAATTGAGTTGGCACAAAAATTATGGTTGATTGAGGCATAAAATTGATCATTTAATAACTACTTCCCATGCTCACGTGTTAAAAAATAATCTCTAATTTGTTTTTTTATTTGTATATCAGTCACAATATCTTTCGCACTAGCTCCTGTAATCGATGCTCAGTGCTTGCGGCCATATTTACAGGCTTGTACCATTATTGTCCATACGTACCTACTCTTGAGACAGATCATTTAGCAACCCGAAACATCAGGCCGACTTATGAAATGAGGAGTAGAGCTTAGTCAATACGACATACGTTACAAACCACGTATAACCATAAAGGGGCAGGTAGTGGCTGACTTCATTGCGGAATTAACTCCTACAATAGGAGAACAATTAGACACATGCCCCACTTTGAGCCACAAAACCATAGATGGACTTGACTCGTCCCCAAGGCTATGGAATATTTTTGTAGATGATTACGCTAATAACCACATGTGTGCGACATGATTAGTAATCGTTTCCTCAAGGGGAACCATCTAGAAACAGCTTTGCGATTCAGATTCAAAACCTCAACAATGAGGCCGAGTACGAGGCCTTAATTGCAGAGCTGAAAGCTACCTGGGAACATGAAGCGACCCATCTCTACATCCACAGCGACTCGATGCTGGTAGTAAACCAAGTTAAGGGAGACTACCAAGTCAAGGGACCAAACTAGCCAAGTACAAAGCACAGGTACAAAATTTGCTTACTTCTTTTGCAGAATGTGAAATTCGAAAAATACTGCGGTTTGATAGAAATGCGGACGCATTAGCGCAACTAGTTGTTGCCTATAGAATGGAAGGAGCATGGGAAATTCTAGTGAAATTTATTACAGAGCCAAGCATAGGAAAGCCCAAGAGCCTCTCCATAATGACCATCCCTCAATGAGGTACCTAGATGGATCCTTTGATAAAATCCTGACGATGGGAGAATTGTCCGAAATAAAATAGAGGCCCGACATGTGCAACATCGGTTGGTGCAATATGTCATTCTCAAGAGACCTTGTACAAACGAGTATTCTCATTACCACTCCTGAAATGTCTTGGCCAGGAAGAATATGTTTATGTCATGCAAGAGGTACACGAAGGCGTATGTGGCAACCATTTAGGGGCACGATCTTGGCACACAAAATTGTCAGACAAGGGTATTATTGGCCAACTTTGCACCAAGACACTAAGAACTATATCCGAAAATGCAATCGCTGCCAACGAATTGTCCCCGTTCCCAGGCAATTAACAGAGCCATTATCTGCCATTATTGGAGCCTGACCATTCATCCAATCTATAGACCTGATAGGACCCATTCTGCATGGGAAAATACAAACAAAATTTTTAGTGGTCGCAGTAAACTACTTCACCAAGTGGACCAAAGCAGAAGCATTAGTTTCAATCACTAAGTAGAAAATTACCAAGTTTGTGTGGCAAAATTTGATATGTTGCTTTGGAATTTCGTACGTGATGAGCTTTGTTTTTCATGGTTAAAAAACTTATTTCATAGCTACATTTTGATATGAAAAATGATATATTTCCTCTCATAGTTTGCATAATTTGGTTACATGTTGTTAAAAGTTGGGGAAAATATATTATTATTGCATTGAATTCAAAGTAGAACGTTTTGAAGTAAAAGTGCACACTTTGTGGTAAAAATACAGCAGAAACTTATGTTTATCAAATTGCAGGTAAGTAGGGCTTGGCACTTCTTTGCTACTTTTTTGTAAAAAGCTCGTCGTTTCGACGAGGGCAGCAATGTCATTTCCAAAGTCAACATACTCATTCAAGTTGGCATTGTTAGGGTCATAATACGTTCAGTTGAACTAAATCCTATGACTTATGCTCCAAGTTCCTCCTATTTTGATGGCAAGTTGCAGCCATCTTCATACCTATAAATCGAACAGCTTCGCATAATTCATTAAGTCTTTACTACCTTTTAGTTAGAAATAACTTCTCATTTCTTTCAATTTTATGCTTTTCCAACCTTATTTTATCACATTACGTTTGTTAAGCTTTTTTTTTTCCAAAATCTTTTCAAGTTCCAATTTTTTTTGTACTTCATTTATTTTCACATTTAAACATCTTCTAGCTCGAAGAGAAGAAGGTTAAGCTAAAGCTCGTTGTACATGTGTTAAGCTTTCGTTTCAATCAATGGAAAGAATTTCTTCAATTTTTATGAGTATTATCCGCACTTTCATTATGCACTAAATTAGTTTTCAACCTCTATGTGAAATGCCTTAGGAAAATTTATCTAAATTTAACACTGGAGAAAAAGCTCAGGTAGCGCCTGACGCATTGTTGATTAACTCCTCAACATATTTATCTTAAAAACAATCTCTTAAGTTGGCCGCTAAGGAGTTTTGCTAAACTGAAGCATAACACTGAAAGAGTTAGGTTAAGTATTTTAATAGGGAGTTAATATATGAGATGTAACTTAGACATAAGAACATAAAATATGATCCTAGACATGGGTCATCTGGCCCATAAAAGTAGATGACTTGGTAGTAATTTTCTAGGTTTGTATGCATAGACATATGATCCGTGGTTGCCCAAGGTTCTGAAACAACTAAAAGCGGTTCAATAAGTCAAAGTAGCGCCTAACACATTTTTCACCGTTGTGTTATTTCGTTTAAAACTAAGGCAGGCAGCAGAGGGCTTAACTTTTAATAGAAGCTTGGTATTTTCAAAGCCAAAACCACGACTTCAAAACTATTTTTACCAATAAACCTAATTGCAGTTTGAAATATTTTACAAATTTCTTTTTGAATCAAAAATCTCCAGGGATACGAATTTAAAATATATTTTCCATGTATTACTCGTGACTGTGTGCGCTTGCACGCTATCTCTTATCCATCGAGATCGAGAATTCCCAACAATACGTGATCATAACCGACAATGGGAGACAATTTGACAGTTGAGGCTTCAGAAGCTTTTGTAATTAGCCAGGCATTCAACACTTTCAATCGTGTACCGCACATCATCAATCCAATGGTCAGGTGAAGGCCGTTAACAAAATCATAAAGAGAAGTTTAAAAGCTCGTTTGGACTATTTCAGAGGGAAATTAGCAGGAGAGTTGCCAAGTATACTATGGGCATATCGAATTACGACCAAAACCGTGATAGGAGAAACTCCTTTTTCCTTAGCTTTTAGCAACGACGTAGTAATCCCAATCGAGATAGGACTACCTTCCGCTCGAACAGAAAATTATGACCCAGACACTAATGAAGAATCCCTAAGAATCCAGTTAGATCTGCTAGAATAATTACAAGAATGCGCTCAACAACGAATGACTATGTGCAAATAACGCAATTCACAATGCTATAATGCTCGTATTCGACCACGAGCATTTCAAGTAGGATACTTGGTTCTATGCAAAGTGTTGTCCAACACCAACCGATGGGGTGCATGAACCCACATGGGAAGGCCCATATGTGGTCATTAAGCTAGCTTGACCCGAAACTTATTACCTACCTGATGCGGCGAAAAGAGCACTAACCCATCCATGGAATGTGAAACATTTAAAATTGTACTACCCACAAACAATATATATGGACAGTAAAGTGTCATTTACCAAGAATAAAAGTGTCGCGCTTCTTAAAGTTAGAAAAACAAAAGAAAGTACATGCCAATTGCCAACAAAGTTCATAGTGAAAACAAACTACAATAGTGAGAAAATAAATGTAAAAGCAATAATCACAGGTAGAGTCTCGGGCACCCTCCGAAGGCTCATTCAATTATGCCACCAAATCGACCAAGGTCTTCTCAGTAGGACTATTTCCAGTAGCAATGATGATAAACTCAATCTCCATCGTAGGGGAGGTAGGGCCGACCATACTAACACCCAATGCGGTCTCAATAGCCTCACCTCTCCTGAAACCATTAGATAGAGAATAGTATATACTAAAGGCAGGCTTGGACAGCGCGACATCGACGGGAGTGATAACTCTCCATAAGAAAGTGTTTTTGTGGTGTAATCTGGGCAATTTTGGTGTGTAAACGTAAGGGTCTTTGGTTAATTAACAAGAAAATAAAGGGATTGAGTGAAGAAATCACCTAAGCTGTTTAGAATTTCATTATCTTTTATTTGAGTGAGCTTAAGCTGATTTTATGTTATTTTGTTGTGTTTTGTAGAATTTATGATGATTAGAGAGTTATGATGCTGGAGTCTGGTGTCTGTGGATGCTCTAGCACATGTGACTATGCAGCAACTGATTTACACCAGTTTGACCGTGTCTGTACAACTTCCAGGTGTTGCCCTAATTTTAAGGACCCGATATAAATAGCAGAATAGTGTCCAACCACCAAAGAGAGCCCTATAACAGAAAATTAAGTTGGGCATAGAACTTAGATAACATTCATTACCTTTTCTCATCGAAGAAGGAGCTCAAGGACGTGGGCTGATTCTCCTTGGCGTCATCATCTTGCTGCTGAGGAAGCTTCCATTTCTCTGCTATCTTCTTCACCGATTGAGCCCATTTATTCTCTACCCTTCTTCTTTTTTCTTTTGTTATGAACTAAACCCCACTTCAGGGGGATGAGCTCGTTGTAACCTTGTTGTTTACTGTGCTTTAGTGACCTTAAATGATGTTTTATTAGAAGCGTTTTTATTCTTCCATCTCACTGATTTTGTTTCGCCAACTCTATTGGTGTGTTTTTTTGCTTGAGGTTTGAGAGCGTCCTTGTTGAGTGTGATTTCTTATATTAGCTTTAGATTCCTCTCTTTGAAGTAGGATGGTGAGTACTCAAGGATGAGACTCACCCTATTGTGCCTATAAACTGCTTTTATTGGTTGCTTTCATTACAACGGGAGTTGGGTTTAAACATGTTTGGGTATCTCGGGAGAGAACCACAACAGTTTGGGTATTCAATATTTTTGGTTTGCTAAAGCATAGTTAACTAAAGGGTGAAAGTATCTGAGCGAATCCCCCTCGAATTACATTCAAATCATTTCTTATTCACAATCTATTTGTTCTATGTTTCAGATGCTCCAGTATTGTAGCGAGTATTTATGCAGCTTATCAATTATTCTTTAGGGTATTTTCATGATTTTATATTATTATTGTCTTTCAGCTAAGCTAGTCAAATCTAATTAACTTTATGTCAATAAACTTTAACTCATCTTAGTTGATAATTGTAGGTTTCTTATGCTCTAACTAATTAACCACAAGTTAATTTTATTTATTTATCAAAAGAAACTTACAACAAAATTTAGTGATTAATCTTATCCATGTTTAATTAATTATGTATGATAATAAAAAGTAAATATGCATAAGAGATTAATAAAATTAGCAAAATTGTAATTGTATTTAAGTAACAAAATTAGCAATAGTACTTTAGTAATTAGATAAATGTTGTGAATTATGGTAATTGTAATGGTGGAGTTATTTGAGTATTTATAAAGTTTCATACATTTTACCAAAAGTTTTATTATAAGGTAATTAACCAAGTAAAACCCCACATTATATCTTTATTTTACTCTTATTTTTCTACCTTAATCAAATTAACTTAATTGGAGGAATATAGATAGTCTAACTTAATTCATAACCATGTAAGAGACACAGACACATGTAGTAAATAAGAGGAGAGAGAAGAAGTTTGTTTCATCTTCCAAGATTCAAGTTTGTTGTCCATTTCTTTCATTTCCCTTCAAGAACAAACCATCATCTATCTTAGTGCGTTACCTTTTAAGTAAGAAACAGTTCTTTTAGTCTAGTTTTGGCAATGAATTTTTCCTAATAATTTTTATAGAACCTAAACATGCCCACCCATATCCATTTTTTCGAAGGTTTCCATCATCATTTCGAGCTCTAGAGGAAAATGTACCATTTCTTCTTTATGTAAATTATTTGTAGGGTTCATTATTAAGAAAAATAGGTATTGTGTAGGCCTTAATTTTGTTAATTTGAGGTCTAAAAATCAAAATTAAAATCATCCTTATTAAAATTAATTTTATGATTAATTTTACATAGAGCTTAAAATTGGTAAAAACTAGTGTTATGTGACTCCTTTATTTTTGGTATAAATCTTGAAACTAAGTAAATCATTTGATAAATATTTTTGTCCAAAAATAAGAGGCTAATATGAGTTTAGAAATTAGTTTTACAAATTTAAATATTTATTTTAGTAATATAGAATTTAGACTAGTAAATTAGTGAACCTAATTAGTTTATGAGGCTTTGTTAAAAAGCAAATTTTAGGTAATTAAATACTAATTTTAGATATGTAAATTGCTATTAGGATGCTAAGGATTTATCCTTAATATGGATTCTATTATAAGTTACCGTCTGGTAAGATAAATATATGTTATGTGTCTAAGTTAAATTTTATTTATAATTTTTCAAGATGATAATTCATGATTTCCGCTATTACAGATTTAGAAAATGCACCAACGCGAAAACTCCAGAAATTACCACGTCCACGCCTTTTTCCCGCCGTTGGTCAAAATTTCCCTCCCTCTTTGTTTTTAGCCTGTTACCCCCACCGTCGCCGCGCCGCTGGCCGATGATTATTCCCGCTGCCATTAACGCCCTCAAATCCTCAAGGTCAATTTCTTGGACGCCGGTACTCTCTCTCTCTACATTCCTGCATCTACGTGCCATTGCAATGGCGCATTCCTGAGAAAAAAAAGCTGTCGAAAACAGTTTGAATGCCCATCACCAAATTTGTAATTTCCTCGTTAATCCGCCTTTTTGTTGTTGTTGTTGTGTAGACGGGTAGGCTTCAGCAGACCTTGGCGGGATGTCTGGAGCTGAGTGGAATGGCTCTGCACTCGGGCAAGGTTTCGAAGGTGAAATTGTGTCCGGATTTTGCGGGCAGAGGGAGGTATTTTGATTTCAAGTCTCGTTTCATTCCTGCATCTATTGATTTTGCCGAAGAGTCGCCTCTTTGTACCACGCTCTCTAAGGATGGGGTTAAAGTTCGAACGGTTGAGCACTTGCTTTCCGCGCTGGAGGCCATGGGGGTCGACAATTGCAGGATTGAGATAGAAAATGTGGATGCTGAAGACAGTGAAGTCGAGGTATTTTGTGAACGGGACACTGAATTCACGTTTCTTGTTATTCGCGAAGATAATAGTTTTTGTCAAATTGATCTCGCTGGATGCCTGAAACCACCATAACTAGCCTAGTCCCACTGTCATCTTGTTTCATAAATCCTGAAATATTTCATCCATGGACAATGAGGCGACGAACTTCTAAAAAACTTTATATAAGTTTTTTTTGGATGAAAACCGACCTTCTTTGAGAGAAATGATGAAATTAATGGAGTGGGGTGAAATTGATAGGAGGCAAGGCAACCATTTGGTTAATTGGTCCAGAAGTCCAACTACCTTCCGGATGGGGGCAGTTTAGATTTGATTTTTTTCTTTAGTTATTTTTAGTGCTTCAATATTTGATACATATTTTTAGATTAAGTTGGTTGAGGTGTAAGCTATTACTGTTCATTTCATTGGAAAGTGAATATAAGATCTTCCAATCAACCCAAAAGTGATGAGTTATGATAAATTTAATATTTTATAGATACCTTAATACTCTCCCTCACTCGTGGCCTGGAAATTTGCACAGGTGGTAATCAATATTAAAGATGGGAAAGAAATGACATTATAGGGGTTAGAAGACCATGCACAAGTGGCCTTCTTCTGTATACCATATTGAAATGTATTAGTTTCGATTTGATTTTTTCTTAAGTTATTTTTAGGTGTTCAGTGTTTGTTACATATGTATTAATAGGTTTAATATTGAGTTGGTTGATGTGTAAGCTATTACTAGTAGGGAATTGCGTATATAAGTAACATATTTTGTATATTTCATTGGGAAGCTTACAGCTCAACCAACTCAATCGAAAAATATGTTAGAAATATTGAACCTACTAATAATAACTTATACCCCAACCAACTTAAACTAAAAATATGTAACAAATATTGAACTAAAAATAACTTAATAAAAAATCAATTATTATATTTATATTTCACTGGAAAGCTTACACCTGGACCAACTCTCGGAAATATATAACAAATATTGAACCACCAATAATAATTTACACCTCAACAACTTAATCTAAAAAATCAAATCGTAACTAAAACGTGTCAATAAAGGAATCTCTTTTTGTTCACTAGACGCGGAGACTCTACCTTGAAAAGAATGCTTTATGGAGGAAGGTGATTATTGCCAAATTTTGTTATTCAATTAATGACTTTTGGCCTGGATATGGGCCTTGAAAAGCTATATTTAAGATATAAGTTCTTTTATCAAGAGAAACTAACTTATGCCGGGAAACATTCGAGGGACTAAAATTTTGAAGACTTTTGGATAGTTTGAGGTCCTCTCTCAGCGGTTTTTTCTAAAATTTTTGCCATCACCTTTATTAAAATTTCGAAGAAGATCAAATTCTTTGTGTGGTAGGTCTTGTATGGGATAGTTAATACATATTACCCTGGACCGTATTTGGAGATGCGATTTTGCTCAGTCAATTTGGTGCCAGTTTTTGGAGTCTTTTAGAGCCTAGAGATTGTCTAAGTGATGGTGGTGGAGGTTTTGGGATAAGGACAAACTTCTTGGGCAGACCTTCTTTGCTCTTCTATGAGGTATTTAACTAAAGAGAAATGATAGAATTTTGTAGGGGTTGGGAGGTCTTGGGTGGTTACTTGGGATTTTTTTATTTATACCTATATGTGGGCTTCTTCTACTAAGAATTTTTGTAAGAAGTTAGGTGTTATTCCTTTAGATTGGGCCTCTTATGTAGGTTGGCCTCCTTTTGTCGGGTTGTTTTTTGTATGTCCTTCTACATGATTTCATTAAAAAATGAAAGCTTAGTTTCTTGTCAATTTTTTTTTTTTTTTTTTGCCTTGGGTTTTTGGAAACGGATAACAATATACCATTCTTGGAACTGTTCCTCTTACATTTTGAATCTTAGTCAATTAGCAATTATTTTGTTCATCCACATTTGTAATACTCTCTCTTATAACTAATTTGGCTTGCTGGAAATACTTCTTGTAGTTTCCTAGCCTCGGTAAGGTGGTAACGTTTAACCCTTGTCATCTGTTCTTTCCTGTTCGTTATCTTTTTCATTAATAGTTTAATACTTGGTTTCTTATCCTATTAGCATTTTTTCCTTCCTAATTTAAATCTCAACTTTCTAATTTCCATGTGGAAAGTTAGTCTCTATGTATAATTAATTTGAGCAATTATTTTTTAAGTTTGGATATCAATATTATTTCATACCCTCAATTCTTTAACTGGCTTTTGAAGAATGTTGCTGAAAATTTATATTCAGGTTCCAATCTTTGATGGTTCTGCGGGTGAATGGGTGGATGCAATAGAGAAGGTCGGTCTTAGGTTGGCTGTTGACCAGTGTGGCAATTGTTGTGAGAAAATGGCACCATCGGTAAATGAACCCGTCCATGTGTGGAGGAATGACTGTTTTCTTGTTGCTTTCCCAGCTGAAGCAGTTCGCATCACTTATGGAATTGACTTTCCTCAGGTACAAATATTTTGTTTAGAATGGCTATTTATAGCATGCTTTTGAAGTGAAAATGTTGCTTCTATTTATTTATTTCTTAATTTATTCTGTGTCAATTTATCTGTGTTAGTGTCATATAACAAAAGTAATTATCCTCGAAACTTATCTCTTCAACCTGTATGATTCTTTGACACGGCCACAAAGAGCCTTACAGAGATTAAGAAAGGGCCTTAAAATATGATTAAAAAATGATCAAGTTTAGAAACTATTATGATTTTGCACATGGAGGTTGTGCTGCCAATTTTAGGAGGCTATGCTCGTATTCATTTAAACTCCCTCAATTAGTCAATATCCTAACAAGTTACATTTAATTGGAAATTTATTAAAAGAATCAGAGATTGGCTTGCTTTAAATGCTTTTTGCAATATGTTACTGAAAGGCCGCAAGTTTACTGATGATGTGCTAAAATAATTCGTGGAAATAGATTATGGCAATTGAGTTTATACTGTCAGTTGAATCTATACCGTCAATTGGTATTGAATGATCTATGAACATTTTCTTATGTTCAAGGTGCCTGTCATTGGCTGCCAGTGGTTTTATACTGCCCCTTTGGACAGCATGTTCTATGTCAAACAGATAGCTCCGTCAAGAACCTTTTGCATTTACGAAGAGGTTGGTTCAAGTTGGCTAATTATTTTGTTTGATGATTCTGTTGATATTTCATCCTAAAAGAAGTAGTTCTTAACTAAATGATGGTGGTACTGTTAGTCTAAGTCAGTAGACATATTGGCACATCTATTTATGTTTGTTGGACTAGATTTGCTTATAGATTTGTGGTAGATGCTTGCAAAGTTTCTTTTCCAAATGCAGCAGATTGTGGAAGCAACAGAGTGCATTAATGTGATGGCAAGCAGACGTTATGATTGGAAAATTGTAAAAATTGCACACGTCGTATATTGTTGCCATAAATTGGATCTTTCATCCGTGTTCACCACCACCAAATCAAGAGAACCTAACAACTAAGAGTTCCCTCTCCCTATTGATTTTGCTCTCTCTCACGCACTAGTCCCTTTCTCATACTCCTCTTTACTTCCCTCTCTTTCGTATATTTCTTGTTTTGGTCTTTAAAAATCTCTCTCTCCCCTGCCTCGATCTCTTGGTTTCTCGGTCTCGAGTCTAATTGATTTGTTCTTTTTTTAAGATCTTTCTCTCCCACTATTCCCTTTTTGTGTTTGTTTAAAATGTCTTGATCTCTCTCTAGTGTTTTATGTTTTTTTGGTTGTCTGTTTAATTTCTTTGATATATGTTGTCCTTTTTGTATTTTTCCCTCTTTTTTGTGTGAAAAGTGAGAAATAGAGTTCTTTCAAAATTTAACTGCATCTCTTGATGGGTGGCTCTTGGAAGGAGAGAAGATATGCGTAGGTGGTCTTTGCATTCTTTTGGGTCTTTTTATGAAATTTTTTTTTCTCTGTTTTAAGGTTATCAGGAGTGAAATCTCCCTTATTCTATTTTATCTTTTTCCTTTCAAAATCAAAACAAGTATTGACGACTATTTGAAAAGGAGGGGAGCAAAGTTCCTTGTGTGTAGCAATATGTCGTAATGGATTAAATACAGGTGAGAAGGTTCATTGAGGTGCCTGGATATAGTGTTCGATTTGAGATGGTGTGTTTTGTGTAGAAGAGTAGAGGAAAGCATCAGTCATACATTCAGTATTCTTTCATCGTCCCTATAATAAAGATGACTGGGAATTCATATTTCAACAATTTTGTATGGGGTCCCCTGGACAGTGCATTGGCAAAACATGGGGCCTTGTTGAAATAAAATAAAAGAAATTTTTTTTGTAGGGGTTAAACAAAGAAATTTGTTTATTTTTCTTGACTATATTATTTTACACCTGCCTCTTGATGTAGGCTTAACAATATGTTTTGTAATTTATATTTGTTTAAAATTTGGGCTAACTGAAGGGCTTTTATGTAACCCCCTAGCCTTGGTGAAGCTTTTATTTCCTTTTTTGTTACATTCTATTATCTATTATTATTATTTTTATAATTGGGAGTCGAAGCTTTGCTCCTCTATATTCAGGGGCACTTGCACCCACCTCGAGGTCTGGATTCGGGAGACATTAAAGATTTTTGGTATTAAGCTCACTGGTAGGTTCGAACTTGAGACCTCTAAGTCGGTATGTTCAAAAGACCTCAAGCCCTTGTCAATTAGGCTCCCATTGAGTGGAATTCTCTTTCCGTAAAAAGAAAAATGTAAGTTGTTCTATGGATTGGGGATTCAAAAGTGATCCTCGGATTGCCCATGGAGTGAAAGCAAAACTTTCAAGAAGAAGAGGTAGAAAAGTGAGTTTTAAGATTGTTCATAATTGATGATGGATGAGACATTATCTCATCTATTGCATGTGGTAGTGGTAGGACCCCATTAATGAAGACTTATTCTAGAAGGGGTAGGAAGGGAATTGTGTTAGGGGCAAATGAGTAATTTGTTAGTAATCTGTTAGAGGGAAAGAATAACGGTTTGAGTAGTGGGGACCATGAGGAGAATAGTGGGGAGTAGAAAAGGAGGAGGAGAGTAGGAGAGGGGACCATCTTGGTTATTAGTATCGAAAGGTAGCTAGGGAGAGATTACCCACCCTCTCGAATTGGTGGGGTGACTTGTATAGCCTACGGGCTTGTTTCTTTTAGTTTTCTAATACAAAAGTGAGAGAGATACCTCACAAATTGGTATCAGAGCAGTGCGGTGCTGGGAATTCGGTGAGAAGATGACTGTGAAAGAGCTTGAGACCAGATGTGAAGCAACAGAGCAGGAGATTATCGATCTCAAAGGCGTTGTAGCGGCTCTGTGCGGGAAGGTTGATGAGCAACATAAGGCAAGTACCAGAATCCAAATGATGCTGGAAAGCTTCATAGCCGATGTCACCGGCGGAACTACTTCTTCGATTTCGCAGTTGGGGGAGTCATCGTTGCAAAAGAATAAGCAACCGGATGATCCGACGAGGGTCATTCAGATTCAGGAACCTGGGTATGACCGCAACAAGTTCAAGAAGGTTGAGATGCCTATCTTCACAGGGACGGATCCCGACTCTTGGTTGTTTCAGGCGGAGCGATATTTTGAAATCCATAAACTGACCGACGAAGAGAAACAAATATGTTTCTGTATAATTTTTGACGGTGTTGTGTTGGCTTGGTATCGCTCCCATGAAAAGCGTAGTCGATTTACTAGTTGGGAAAATCTGAGGAGTCGGCTGGTGGAACGATTCCTGAAGGCGAAGGAGGGGCGACAATGCACGCGGGTGTTAGCGATCAAGTAAGAAGGAACAGTGGCTGAGTAGTATATTGAAACGTTCGAAGCACGATTGGCGCCACTTCCACACCTTTCTGATGAGGTATTGGAGTGTGCGTTCTTAAATGGGCTAGACGCAGTAGTTCGTGTGGAGGTGTTAGCCACAGAGCCCGTGGGCCTCGAACAGATTATGAAACGAGCCCAACTCATTGAAGAGGTCTCAATCGCAGTCCAAGAGGCTGGGGTAAATGCTGAACGAAGCTTAAAGCTAGCGACAGTGGGAGGAAAGGCTCGATTGGCAGCTAAGAGGGAAGCCACTTACAAGCGGTTACCGAGGAAGAGTATAAGAAGAGGAAGGAACGAGGCCTCTGCTTCAAGTGTGAAGAAAAATACACCGTGGGACACCGGTGTAAGAATCAGCAATTACGTGTGATCGTCGTACACAACGACGAAGAGCTAGACCCAGGGGAGGAAGAACCGGGGGTGGAGCTAGATGAACAAGCGGAGGAGAACGACAAAGCTGTGATGTGTCGCTTGAACACGATTGTCGGGCTAACAACTCCGGGAATGATCAAGATATGAGGAACCTTGTTGGGGCGTGAAGTAGTGGTGCTGCTGGATTGTGGAGCAACGCATAATTTCCTTTCGCAGAAGCTGGTTGGCGAATTGAAGATTCCACAATCGGGTACGTATAACTACGGTATTATCACAGGGACAGGCATAGCGATCAAAGGACAGGGGGTCTGCTGTGGAGTGGTGCTGGAATTGCCAGAGATCACCGTGGTAGAAGATTTCTTACCAATCGAACTTAACGATTTGGATGTCATCCTAGGGATGAAGTGGCTGCAATCATTGGGCAAAATGGAGGCGGATTGGCCCTCCCTAACCATGTCATTCCTTAAAGTCGACAAGAAGATTACCCTTAAAGGGGATCTGACTCTAGTCCGTCTGGAAGTGTCCCTCAAACGGTTGGCCCGTTCGTGGCAGAAGACTGATGAAGGCTTTATGGTGGAGCTCAGGGCTTTGACAGCCCATAGCTCGGGGCAAATGGAAGAATTGGAAATTCGGGATGGGGAACAGCCCACTGAAATTCACCAGCTCCTTGGAGAATATCAAGGCATCTTTCGAACTACTGATCAACTACCACCACAGCGGGCAGTGGACCATAGGATCCAGATCAAAGACGGAGAGCCACCAGTTAATGTTCGTCCCTACCGTTATGCCCACGCCCAGAAAACAGAGATTGAGAAAATGATTGCAGACATGATACAAAAAGGGTTGATACAACCTAGTGTAAGCCCCTATTCTAGCCCAGTGATCTTAGTCAAAAAGAAGGATGGGAGTTGGCAGTTTTGCGTGGATTACAGGGCCCTCAACAATGTGACTATTCAAGATAAATTCCCTATCCCTGTGATTGATGAGCTGCTCGATGAACTCCATGGATCTTGCATATATTCCAAGATCGATCTGAAGTCGGGGTACCATTAGATCAGGATGGCACCAGGGGACGTTCAGAAGACAGCGTTTAGAACTCACGAGGGCCACTATGAGTTCTTGGTGATGCTGTTTGGGCTAACCAACGCCCCTGCCACATTCCAATCTCTGATGAACCAAATCTTCCGGCCTTTTTTGCGTAAGTTTGTCCTTGTTTTCTTCGATGACATTCAAACATATAGCCCTGATTTGGATTTGCATATTACTCACTTGACTGTGGTCTTCAATCTGCTGCGAGACCACTCTTTGTATGCAAACTACAAAAAATGCAGCTTTGCTCAAGCTAGGGTGGAATATTTGAGGCATTGGGTGTCAACTGAAGGCGTGGAGGCAGACCCTGAAAAAATTCAGGCTATGTTAAATTGGCCCGTCCCCACCAACCTACGAGAGCTTAGAGGATTCCTTGGCATCACAGGCTATTACAGAAAGTTCGTTCTGAACTATGGCACTTTGGCAGCACCCCTGACTCAATTGCTTCGAAAGGATGCATTCGAGTGGACCGAACAAGCCATGGGAGCTTTTGAGAAACTCAAAACAGCCATGGTAACCTTAGCGGTGCTCGCCTTGCCGGATTTCACTCTGCCCTTTGTGATCGAAACAGACGCGTCGGGTACCGGATTGGGGGCAGTCCGAACTCAGGAATAGCGACCCGTCGCCTATTTCAGCCACACTTTATCCTGACAAGGACAAGCTAAATCGGTCTACGAGTGTGAATTGATGGCTGTGACCCTTGCCATCCAGAAGTGGCGGCCCTACTAGCTCGGGCAGAAATTCATTGTACGTACTGACCAGCAAGCACTAAAGTTTCTGCTAGAACAAAGGATTGTCTACCCGGAATACCAGAAGTGGGTCTCCAAGCTCCTAGGATATGACTTTGAGATTCAATACAAACCATGCCTCGAAAACAAAGTCGCTGATGCTCTATCAAGGATGCCCCATGGACCCCAGCTCGCAGTCATGACAGTACCTGCCTTGTTAGATGTGGAACTACTCAAAACAGAGGTACAATGTGACCCCCATTTGTCTAAAATTATGGAAGAATTAGAACTTGATCCCGAGAGCCACCCCAAGTACAGCTTGCAGCTGGGGGTGCTTCATTACAAAGACCGTTTGGTAATATCTAGTTCCTCGGCTCTGAAACCAGCAATCCTACATTTGTATCATAACTCCATCATGGGAGGACACTCAGGGTTCTTGCGGACCTACAAACGGATCACTGGTGAACTTTATTGGCCCGGTATGAAAGCTGATGTGAAGAAGTTTGTGGAGGGTTGCACGGTGTGTCAGCGTAACAAAACCTTGACCGTGTCACCCGCTGGCCTACTGCAACCCTTGGCGGTACCCAACCGCATTTGGGAAGACATTACGATGGATTTTGTAGAAGGACTGCCTAAATCCATGGGGAGTGACATGGTGTTTGTCGTGGTGGACCGCCTGAGCAAATATGCTCACTTTATCCCTCTTAACCACCCCTTTTCCGCAAAAACGGTAGCAGCAGCGTTTGTCAAGGAGATAGTTCGGCTCCACGGGTTCCCTCAGTCCATAATTTCAGATCGAGACAAGG